ACAGAGTAACAGAATTCAGCAAACACTCTAAGTACTTTCCTTTATGCTGGGCCTGCGCTACAGGGAAAGAAGGCAGATATGGTAAGATCATAATCCTTGCCCTCAAGAAGCTCAGACAAACAGGCATATATACAGGCAATTAACTCAATGGGCTAAGTGCTAGAGATAAGTCCAAGGAACAGAAAGCAGAGAACACCTAATTCTACCTTGGGAAGATTGGCAGAGGGGCTCAGGGTAGGCCTCACAGGAGGGCTGCATGAGTGAACTGAGTCTTGAAGGTTGAGTAGGCGTTGGTTAAGGGCAGGGTTGAGGCTGGGAGTTAGGAAGAGGAGGTGCAAAGGCTTAGGGTGGTAAAGCACATGGAATACGTATGTGGCAGGGGAGAAGCAGGTGATGAGGCTGGAAAGATGGGGCCTGTGTGCCATACCCAGGAGTCCTGGCTCGACCCTGTAGGCAGCCAGGCATCATCAAATCAAGATGGGCAGGGGAGACCTACGTTAATTTTAGCTAAATAATTATAAGCTTGCTTGGCTCAGAGTACACTGAAGTTTATACACCAAACTAAACTGTATTATTGGTGCAGTTAATCAGAAATCAAGCAGCAACAGGAGGCCTAAGGTAAAGACCATCCGAGAGCTCAATGACCCCAGGGAACACCTCAGGATGGTTGCAGAGCAGGCAATACTGCTAAGGTCCCATGAATGTCTTCTCAACAAGGAGACTGCATGAGGGTCTCATCAAGAGGGATTATGCAAAGATCTCTGACAAGGGAGGTGACCTCTGCTCACAAGATCTGGAGGGTCTTTGCAGATGGGAGCTGGTGAGGAGGAGAAAAGCCTTGCAGGGCAGAAATCACGGAACACCTCAGGCTCTGCCTAGGTTCTCGGAATATGGAGCGATTTTATTTTATTTATTTTTTTGAGACAGAGTTTTGCTGTTGTTACCGAGACTGGAGTGCAATGGCACGATCTTGGCTCACCGCAACCTCCGCCTTCTGGGTTCAAGCAATTCTCCTGCCTCAGCCTCCCGAGTAGCTGGGACTACAGGCACCCACCACCATGTCCCGCTAATTTTTGTATTTTTAGTAGAGACGGGGTTTCACTTTGTTGACCAGGATGGTCTTGATCTCTTGACCTTGTGATCCACCCGCCTCGGCCTCCCAAAGTGCTGGGATTTATAGGCTTGAGCCACCTCGCCAGGCCAATGGAGCGATTTTAATTGCTCTTTGTCCTCAATGCTCGGGAGATAAAAGCCCCTGGATGCATTGGGTGTGGTCGGACAAGGTGATGTGGCTGCACCCTGATAACAACAGGTGATAAACTCAGAGTACTAGTTTAATATATCTTAGAAGGATCTCAAGTGCTCTCCCCTGATATCTCACCTACCTCTTCACCCTCGCCTTTCACGCCCATAAGATCAATGAGATTATGCACATAATAAAAGTGTTTTGGAGCCCAGAGCTCGAGGCCAACACGATTCCCATGCTTGCGTTGGTCTCCTGGACCCATGCTGTAAATTCTACTCTTGTGTCTCTGTCTTTATTTCCTTTTCTCAACCCTCGT